ATTTGTAACCGGAAGTTGTTTTGGTTTTTTTTTCTGTTTCTCGATAAAGGAGCGAATTGCTAAGGGATATTCCTTACAGTGTACGATGGGAGACAATTCGATTGGCAAAGATACTGATGTGTGTCAGTCGGTTTGCAGAGATCTTTCCATCAATTCCAGTAGACTAATGCTTAGAAAAGTCTCCTTGGATATTTCTGCTGTGCAATTATCTGCCTAGCCATAGTTGGAAAGACACGCAGGTTGTTGCCATAGATCATTGCCCAACCAGGAATTAATCAGGACGGCGCTCGAGGGAAGGGTAATGCATCACACAATATAGTTATACGAAATTTACACTACATGACGATCAGACAAAAACGTAAATCATTTTCGTATCGAAAGTCAATTCATACGAAAATTGTACAAGATTGCAACACGTTACCATATCTCTCACCGTATAAGTATACACTCAGTTCGGAGACATACAGGGTGTAATGATCATTACCCGCCCACCGAGCTTTATGATACCATATATCCCGGAGGATTATATAACTTGTTATGCTACATTTACGACATCTTGGGAAAACGGAGTGTTACATTGTGGAAAAAGCTATGTTTACATGAAGATAATTGCAGGTAGAGACGAGTGTGTTGTAAATCTTCAACCTCTGATAATGAAAGAAATGTATAAAGTGCATTATGGTTTTATGATTGAACCAGCACGATCACGGGATATCAGATAATTTTATAACAACAGATTACTACATTATCAATTGACATCTGTATATCTCTCTTAAATTCATTCATTACATGCATGATCTCTTCATGTATATATTGTCCCCAATAAGTCATTAAGATATGAATAAATGCTGACTTTCAATTGTGCGGTTATGGATAAAGCTGTGTTACAATTGTAAATGACACAACGTAACAGGTACCAAGCATAAAGCACAAGCTTATATAGTTACATTGTAGCTTCATGACCAGAGTCCACTTGCATCCATAGAACAATGAATTAAGAGTACGTTGATCTTTATTGTAACACATAATGTAACATTTCTTTGATCATTGGCCAGTATCAGTTAGTTCTTCTTTATTTACTCACGATCGTAGGATACATGTAGCATATTCTTCCTAACGGTCTGTCCAGAACATACATTTCACCGACAATCATCAACTTTGGACCGTATGTTGGTCGTCTTTGATTGGTGAAGTGTCATTGTGAAAAATGTCACAGTGATCTACATTTTGACCTTTGACCTTAATTAAAAGTGCAAAATAAGTGAGTGACCCTTTCCCGGAGTATATATCCCATTTTGGAAAGACAGAGTGTCAAGTAAAAACCTTAGTGTTTGGTTATACTGGCTTCACAGCACTGGTGATTTAATTTCACTATTTTGCTATGTTGTAAATATGATTACATTATTAACTATGTAACTATATACGCTTGTGCTTTATGCTTGGTACCTGTTACACATGCGTTGTGTCATTTACAATTGTAACACAGCTTTATCCATAACCGCACAATTAAAAGTCAGCATTTATTCATAACTTAATGACTTATTGGGGACAATATATACAGGAATAGAACATGCATGTATTGAATGAATTGAAGATAGATATACAGATGTCAAACTTTTAATGTAGTAATCTGCTGTTGAAAAGTGATCCGCTATCCAGTGATGTTGCTAGTAGCATCATTCAATCATAAAACCATAATGCACTTTATACATTTCTTTCATTATCAGAGGTTGAACATTTACAACACACTAGTCTCTACCAGCAATCATCTTCATGTAAACATAGCTTTTTTCTCAATGTAACACTCCGTTTTCCTAAGATGTACTAAATGTAGCATAACTATAATCCTACGGGATATAGTTATGTATAGTTGATTCAAAAATTGAAATTTGTTTCAAAATTATATTTATCCATTTACACATCAATAAAAGTGTCATTCGTTGAGTTTTTCGTGATTAACTCCGTCCTTTTTCCGTTTTATGATATACAAGTACATTGTACTTACATATACACGCTTTTTCGATTCCCTCTCCTTACTAGCTGTTTCACTTTTTCCTTCTGACACTTCTCTATAGCAAGTGTCGGTAACAAAGCTCATGT